GCCTGCAGTTGGGATTCATCCCCGGGGATCCTCCCACCACCCCCCGGAGCTCCCGGAGTGCCTGCAGTTGGGATTCATCCCCAGGGAATCCCGGGGGTTTATATCCCAGGGAGGTACCCCCTGGGAGGTTGGGAAGCTGTGCTCTGGGAGGAGCCCTCCCTGAGAGGGACAGGAAAACTGGGAATGGGGGGCCCTGCAGCCACCTGGAACCCCCCCAGGGGCTGGATTTGGGATGGTCCTGGACACAGAGAACGGGAAGCGTCACATTCCAGGCTGGGAGCCTCTGCAATCCCAGCGGTGCTCCAGGAGCCCCTGGAATTCTGGAATCCCACATCCCATTCTAGGCTGGGAGCCTCTGGAATCCCAAATGGTGCCCCAAGGGCCCCTGGAATTCTGGAATCCCACACCCCCAGGTGCCACATCCAGGGATGGAGGCTCCAAACCCCTCTGGGCACTCCAACACCACCTTTGTTGCCTGGGGAACAATTTCCCTTTTGATTTTCCTCCTTTCTCCACATTTTTTGGAGTAAATCCAGCCGGTTTTTCCTGCTGGGAGCCGGGCCTTGCTGGGCTGGCTCTGCCGAGCCCTTCCCACCTCCAGCAGGGCCCTTTGAATCCCGGAGTTCAGGTTACAGCCACCTCCCCAAGGAATGTCCCAGGGATTGGGTTACCGGCCTCCTTTAGGGAAAGGGAGGAATAAACTCGGCCCAGGGAGAGCTGGAACGCTTCCCTCTTTCCCAGGAAAGCACGGCTTTAACCCAGAAAACAAGGATTTGGGGAAGATCAGGGGGTGTTTCCCATGGGAGCAGGCAGGGAGGGCTCAGGGAAGGGATCCATAACGGGACGGACACACAGCGGGATAATTCCCGAATGCGCCCGGCAGGGAGTTCCCAGGGGAGGTTTGGATCTTCCCAAAGGATTCCAGGAGCAGCACTCACAGCTGGGGGCCCTTCTCATCCACTCCTCCGAAGAGCAGCGCGACACCGAAGGGGCGGGACTGCGGGAGACAGGAGGGGACAGTGGGACACGGAGCGGGACAGGGGGGATCAACGCCCCCCGGAGCCCCCCCGGCATTCCCGAATCCCTGCCGGCGCCCACCATGGCTCCGGGATCGGCGTCTTCCTCCCCAAACTGCAGGGCCAGGTTGGACACGGCCTGGGTGACGCTCTCCACCGTCATCGTCTCGTTGTAGGTGAACCAGTGGTTCTGCAGGGAAAGGGGGACAAACATTCCCGCTATCCCTGTGCTCCCGGGAAACACGGCATTCCCGGGGGGCTGGTGGGGCGGGGAGGAGCATCCCCCCGGGTGAACACACAGGGATTATCTCCCTGGGGAACTCGGTGCCTGTTCTCCTGTGGAAAAGCCGGGAAGGGCAGAAATCCCCAGAAAGTCTCGGGATAACCAAACCTTGGGATAACAGCAGGGAAAGACAAGGCTGGAATGCCTTATCCCAGCATCTGTTCTGGAAGCAATGGGTTATCCAGCTCTCCAGAGCTGGGGAATATGTAGGAAATATGTAGGATAATATGTAAGGAAAAGCCTCGGGAAAAGCCTTTACTCCAGCAGGGATTTGCCCCTGGGACCTTGGAGCATCCAGGAAATTTAGGGGGCTAAAAACACATCCAATATATCCAGTGTTTTGCCAGAACAGGAGGCAGGCACAGCCCTTGTGCTCCCAGCAAACCTCCCACTGCACACCTTTCCCATTCCAGCTCCTTTACTGGAATGATCTTCCCTTTCCCCAGACTCCCAAGGCATTCCCGGGATTTGTGGGATCTCACCTGAGTCTCCACTCGGGCCTTGTCAATCAAGGTCTTGGCATCGGCGATCAACCCACTCATGGCACAGCCTGGAATGCGACAGGAGTCATTCCACACTTTCCCCCCAAACTGCCCCAAAACCCACGTGAGACACAAAGTTTCCCAAGCAGGAATGTGGGAACGGGAGAGGGTGGGATTTGCCCCCCCTGTGCTGGGCACTGGAATTCCACACCTGGAATTCTGGGGGCAGCTTTGGGTCCCTCAGGACAAGAAGGACATTGAGGCATCCAGGGATGGGGAAGGGGCTGGAAAACCAGGAGCTCACCCCGAAAAAAAGAAGGCTCAGGGGGGACCTTCTCCCTCTCCAGAATTCCCAGACAGGAGGGGAAGCCAGGGGGGTTTCGGGCTCTGCTCCCAGGGAACAAGGGACAGGAGGAGAGGGAACGGCCTCAGGCTGAGCCAGGGAGGGTCAGGTTGGATACTGGGAAAATTCCTGCCTGGAAAGGGCTGCAAAGCACAGGAAAGGGCTGCCCAGGGGGGTTGGAATCCCCATCCCTGGGAGCATCCAAAAAACACCTGGATGTGGCCCTTGGGAACGGCTGCACTCCATGACCCCAGAGGGCTTTTCCAACTTCGAGGATTCCCTGATTCCATGGAAACGACCTGCTGGGAAGGGGCCCTTCCTGGCTGACCCACAGCAGGAACCCCTGGAACAGCCCCCAGGGGGAGGGAATGGGACTTCTGGAGCTCTTCCTATGCCCCAGAGCAGGAATATGGGAATCTGGGAGCTCTCCTGCCCTCCAGGAGCCCGTGGGGGGCCCTCAGGGTGGAGGTGGCTCCAGGTTGGCTCTGGTTCTCCCAGAAAAACTGGCCTGGAGTCAAATCCCTGCAATTCCCTGCCCTTCCAGAGCTAAATTTGGGATGAGGGAGGTCACTGAGGCAGGGGCAGTGCTTCAGCTGCCTCTTCCCGGCTCCTGGAGCTGGCCTGGAGCCTGGAAAACCAGTGCCCGGGAGCACTGGGAGGGCCCGTCCCAAAGCACAGCTTCCCAAACTCCCAGGGGGGGATCCTTGGGATATAAACTCCTGGGATTCCAGAGGTGCTCCCAGGGTTGTTCCCAGAGGGAGGTCTGGCCCTGGGAGCGGATGCCCAGGGGGGTTTGGAGCCTCCATCCCTGGAGCTGTCCAGAAAACACCTGGATGTGGCACCTGGGGATGTGGGATTCCAGAATTCCAGGGGCCCCTGGGGCACCATTTAGGATTCCAGAGGCTCCCAGCCTGGAATGGAATGTGTTCTGTGACACTCCCTGTTCCCTGTGTCCAGGACCATCCCAAATTCAGACCCTGGGGGGTCCCAGGTGGCTGCAGGGCCCCCCATTCCCAGTTTTCCTGCCCCTCTCAGGGAGGGTTCATCCCAAAGCACAGCTTCCCAACCTCCCAGGGGGTGGACCCCTCGAATATAAACCCCCAGGATTGCAGGGGTGCTCCCAGGGCTGTTCCCAGGGCTGTGTCCCTGTTCCCAGGCTGTTCCCAGGGCTGTATCCCTGTTCCCAGGCT